AGGTCAGAGTTGCTTAGAGGCAGGCAGGAGGGATTAGGTCACCAGTGGAGCTGACCCAGACAGTTATAAAGGCTGTAAAAACAGAAACATTTTATTTTTAAAATGAGATTTCAACAGGCATCATGAGTTGGCAAGGCATATTTCATTGCATTCTGAGTATGGTGACCTTGAAAAACAGGGTTTGACTCAGAAATCTATAATAAGCTAAGTGTAGTGAAGACAGAGCACCATAGCACCTTAAAGCAGCTCCTCTTCTCTATTATAACATCTCCTGAGAAAACAAACACCAGATCCATCTCATTTTAATGGAACAGATTTTATGATTAACTTTCTCATGCCCTCTAAGACCTTGGCCACAACCTTCATCATCTTCTTGCTTCACCTACTGCAAACCGATGTGGCCTCCTTGCACCATCCTTAACTGGCTCCAGGCTATTCAGAACATTGGGGACAAACCCATCTCCCCCCTCCTCCTGTTCTGACCACCTCACCTCACTTATTAGCTTCCTCTCCACTTCCACATCAACTTCAAGCTTTGCCCTCATGTTCCAGACTATTTTGCAAAAAAAAAAAAAAAAAAAAAAAAGGCTGCTCCTCCCTACATCTGATTTCTACACAGTTTCAACTTCCTTTGCTCATGCCAAGCCTCCCTCAAAACACTTCAGTTTCCTGCACCAAGAACACATACTACACCTGATGTACTAGAGCAACTGTAATAATAATTTACCACTTTGATGCCCCTTTACATATGCAAAGCACTGTGCAAACACTGATTGATCTTTACATCATCACTATGCTGTATTATCCCCATTTTACACATGGGGAAATGGAGGCAGGGAGCTGCAGGGACATGTAAGGTTGTCCAAGAAGCCCATGTCAGAGTCAAACTAGAGTCCAAGAATGCTGACACTCAAGCACGCTCTCCTTTCTCCAGACCACACTGCCTACTATTGGGATTTGAACACTTTGATATGTCTATACTAGGGCTGTCAATTAATCGCAGTTAACTCGCGATTAACTCAAAATTAATCGTGATTAAAAAATTAACCGCGATTAATCACAGTTTTAATTGCACTGTTAAAGAACAGACTACCAATTGAAATTTAAATAATTTTGGATGTTTTTCTACATTTTCATATATATTGTATTCTGTGTTGTAATTGAAATCAAAGTGTATATTATTTTTATTACAAATATTTGCACTGTAAAAAAGTATTTTTCAATTAACCTCATACAAGTACTGTAGTGCAATCTCTGTCATGAAAGTTCAACTTACAAATGTAGAATTATGTATTAAAAAGCTGCATTCAAAAATAAAACAATGCAGGCTCTAAAATTTTAGAAGTCCACTCAGTCCTAATTCTTGTTCAGCCAATCGCTCAGACAAACAAGTTTGTTTACATTTGCAGGAGATAATGCTGCCTGCTTCTTGTTTACAACATCACCTGAAAGCGAGAACAGGCATTCACATGGCACTGTTGTAGCTGGCGTCGTAAGATATTTACATGCCAGATGCACTAAAGATTCATATGTCCATTCATATTTCAACCACCATTCCAGGGGACATGCATCCATGCTGAGGACGGGTTTTGCTTGATAAAAATCCAAAGCAATGCGGACCAACTCGTGTTCATTTTCATTATCTGAGTCAGATGCTATTAGCAGAAGTTGATTTTCTTTTTCGGTGGTTCGGGTTCTGTAGTTTCCGCATCAGAATGTTGCTCTTTTAAGACTTCTGAAAGCATGCTCCACACCTCGTCCCTCTCAGATTTTGGAAGGCACTTCAGATTCTTAAATCTTGGATCAAGTGCTGTAGCTATCTTTAGAAATCTCACATTGGTACCTTTTGTGTTTTGTCAAATCTGCAGCGAAAGTGTTCTTAAAATGAACAACATGTGCTGGGTCATCATCAGAGACTGCTATAACATGAAATATATGGCAGAATGCACGTAAAACAGAGTAGTGGACATACAATTCTCCCACAAGGAGTTCAGTCATAAATTTAAATAACACTTTTTTTAACGAGTGTCGTCAGCATGGAAGCATGTCCTCTGGAATGGTGGCCAAAGCATGAATTTTAGCACAAATTAATGTTTAGCATATCTGGCAAATAAATACCTTGCAATGCCAGGATCAAAAAGTGCAGTGCGAATGCCTGTTCTCACTATTTGGTGACATTGTAAATAAGAAGAGGGCAGCATTAACTCCCATAAAAGTAAACAAACTTGTTTGTGTTAGCGATTGGCTGAACAAGAATTAGGACTGAGTGGACTTGTAGGCTCTGAAGTTTTACATTGTTTAGTTTTTGGGTACAGTTATGTAACAAAAAAAATCTACATTTGTAAGTTGCACTTTCATGACAAAGACTGCACTATGGTACTTGTAGGAGGTGAATTGAAAAATACTCTTTTACAGTGAAAATATTTGTAATCAAAAATAAATCTAAAGTGAGCACTGTACACTTTGTACTCTGTGTTGTCACTGAAATCATTATTTTTGAAAATGTAGAAAACATCCAAAAATATTTAAATAAATTGTATTCTATTATTTTTTAATCGCGAGATTAATCTTTTTAATCGTGCGACTAATCGCAATTAATTTTTTTAGTTGCTTGACCGCCCTAGTCTATATTATACTATACTTATCTAGGCATCATAAATTGCTTAAACTTTAGTTGCACAACTGCAAACAATAAAACCTGCAGAACTAAAGATTGTATGTTTTGGTTATATCCTAAAGTTAGACATAATAAAATTTGTAAAGCACTCCCTCTTCCTCATACTTTCTGGATCTGAAGATGCTGTACACCTGAGCACCTTGAAATCCAAAAAGGTGAAAACAAAGAAGAGTAGGCAAATTTATTTTTGTATGAAATAAAATTAACAGTGTTAGAAAACATCTTTCAAAGAGAGATATTCCCCCGTCATCTTGAAAGTTTTTTAAGTGTTCCCTTGAAAAACAAACTGGTAAGTGCTAAGCACAGACTCTTAGAAGGATTTTTCATGCTTGAGGCAACACATATCACAACATTCTGTTTTAATAAATCCTCCAATAAAGAATACACATGAAACAAAAAAGTGAACTATTAATTTAAAACAGCGTAATTTACATCATTGGAGAAGGCTACCTACTACTGAAGTCAAATATTGATTGATAACTGCTTTGATTGGTCCTGCTTTGAGCAGGGGGTTGGACTAGATGACCTCCTGAGGTCCCTTCCAACCCTGATATTCTATGATTCTATGATAGAGGAAAAACATGGTTCAAAGCCATAGGCAAATTAAGACTTGAGAGGGAAAGGGCATTCATTTCCTGATGTACTGAACAGTTCCTTATTCTGAACAGGTTTCAGAGTAACAGCCGTATTAGTCTGTATTCGCAAAAAGAAAAGGAGGACTTGTGGCACCTTAGAGACTAACCAATTTATTTGAGCATAAGTGAGCTGTAGCTCACGAAAACTTATGCTCAAACCCCCTTGGTTAGTCTCTAAGGTGCCACAGGTACTCCTTTTCTTTATTCTGAACAGTTTTTTATGACTTACTACAAAAGGAAAAATGAAAAAAGCTATTGTAGATAAATCACAATGACTTAAAATAAGGAAATCAATAGGTATTTCAGAACAGGGTTCAGACACATGCTGCCTCCATCAGTCTCTGGAATATAGAAGCCCCTCCACCCTACAACTCACCAACATTTCCCGGGCTTTATAGTGATTTGAGGTTAAGAGAGTTTATCCCCTGACTTCTAACTAGACTAGGTTAGAGGTCTGGACACAGTGAGGATTGCAAGGCTTCATTTTACCAGATCATTGTTAATAGGTCAGCTCTATGGGCCAGATTCTCAGCTGGGGGAGATCAGCACAGCCCCACTGAAGTCAACACAGCTACACCAGTTTCACCAACTGAGTATCTGACACTGTATGTTTGTTACCTCCCCTTCCAATAACATAATGCAGTCTTACATGAGAACCAAGCAGTGAGGAAATTGAGTGATTTACACAGACAATACTGTTTACTTATTCAGTACACTGAGTGCATGGGCACCATTAGTAAACACTATCCTCTATTTACTTTCGATCTCTGGTACTGGTTATATTTACAATCTTAATCTCAAAGCCAAGGCCACTGTCGATGTTAAGGGATTTTACTTTTAATCCCTACCACTGCTACCACAAGTTCATCTCCACCACCAATACGGAGCCTTCGCCTAGACAGGTATCTGGCTAACCCAGTTGATGTTAATGCTGCACCAGAGCAGATCAAACCAACAGAATGTTTAAAGCATTTGCAACAGTCGGTGACCTGTCTACATTAGGGCTCCCAAATCCCTGTTAGCAATAGTGGAATATTTCCCTGGGGTCTCACCTCATGGACAGATCTTTCAGAAAAATTACAGAAACGTAAAATCATACTATCCATGCACATAGGCATCAGCTTCACCTGTCATTTCACTGTAAGCATGGTACACAGGGGCTAGTTTAACATTTACTATTCTACTAATCACTGATGGAGCCACCTGGAGAAGCGTGGACCCATTCATTACTAAACAGTTCCACTCCTGAAACTGGCAAGTGTAAGTACTGATAGCTGAAAAACACTTTCTTATTGGATTTTGTAACTACTGTAACTTGGGAAAGAACCTGGTCACAGAGGACAACACAAAAAACCCCAAAACACCTGCTATTTTGGAGATACATGACTAGGATCCTCAAAAAGAATATGAAGCCTGATCATTTGTATTGCATTTTACAGCAATTTCAGTAATGCATTATTACATAGTTTGAATTTTAGCATATGGTATAGATTGCTTATTGTGGATTTTTTTGTTTGTTTTTTTAATTGACTCAATATTGTTACATCATATGTACTTTGTATCTGTAACCATTTACAAATCACCTATAAGGCATTTAATAAGTAGTTCAACCACCGAGTTAAATATTGCATATCCAGCTATAGTAATAGTAGACTTTAGAAAAAAAATTAAAAAACTTTTTAATATACCTGAATTCATTTCATCGGTCGAAATCAAGCTTGCTTCCTGTGCGAGGTCCTTTAAAAGTCTCCTACGCACTTGTCTTTTTTCCCTTAGCACATTTTTGAAGTTGTTGATGCACTTGTTCAGGTAGATAGTCTCTGCACACACCTTTTCAAGGCTCACGGGTCTGTACTCCTTTGTTTGCTCAGTTAGAGAGCTAGCATCTGTCACCATCTCAGCAGAAGGTAGGGACTGTCCAGCATAAATCTCCGAGTCAGAACTCAACACCAGACTAGGGACAGGAGACTCATGAGGGACAGGTGGAAGCCTGGAAGGAACAAATTGCATTTGAACTACAGCTTCACTGTTGGCAGATGTGTTGGCCTGGCTCTCAGAAGACTGACTGGGGGGGCTTTCTGTAAAGTTATCAGAGCTACCACAGACACCTACACCACTCAGCGCAAGTCTACCATCATGTTCCATTTGGAAGCTGGCATCATTTTCCAGGAGGACTTCAGAGTCACTGGTCTCCAGCTTGTGAAACACCAGCTGTAGAGCTGATCTAAAATGATGAATAGCTTTCCCAAGTTTGTTAGTATAAAACTTCATGTCCACAAGATCAATGTTATCCTGGGAATGGTCAAGAAAATACTGGGAATTTTCTAACACATCCCTAAAGACCTGGTCAGTTTGATCTTGGTCATTCAGATCTATCTGGACCATATCTTTCAGCGTATCACTACTATCAGCTAGTTTATCTGCTGTGTGAACACTGCTTACAGTTGTAGCACCCGTAGACTGATCTTCCAAGAGAAGATTTATTTGCTCTGTACTGAGGAACTCAAGCATGGTGTTACAGTCCATTTCATTTTCTCCTGTAGTTATTCCCTCAGCTTTGTCCTCCTCTAAAGGGGAAGAGCAGTTCTTAGTCACATTTTCAGCGTCAAGCCCAAGTTCTCTTCCATCACATAAAGCATGTATATGGCTGGTGTGATCTGAGGTCTCTGGGGAGTGGCAGGAATTTCCTTCATCTGTTTTGGGCAAACGGGTCACCTGAAGAGTTTGCTGAGGTGTGTGGGAAACATGGAGAACAGGCAGAGGAGAGTCACTCTTTTTTGAAGTTTGCTCATTACAGTTGTTCATAATTTGCGATACTTGCCCCATTTTTATCTCGAGTTCAGAGATCAAGTTACTTTTCTTAGCTAAGGTTGACTTGTGTGTAAAACCAACTCTCTCCCCTAGACACTGTGTTTTTCTACTTGTGTTTTTGTACCTAACCTGGTAAGATTCAGTTTGAAGGTGCGCATCACCACCAGTTCTTTGAGCCTCTTCATCACAGTTCAGAGAACTCCAGTGATTTTTCTTGAGGCCAGGCTGCAGTAATGAGAGTGGATCTGCTCGGCAGCCCCTTTGGCCAGTCTGTTGGTTTTCCTCTTCGCTAGCAACAATCCTGACCCCCGTGCTTTGCATGAGAATAGACTTTTGTAAAATGAAATCTCTTTGTTCAGGGTTTGCAAGTTTCACAATTGCTGGTCTTGGTACTAACGGTTTGCCTGGAGTTGCGTTTGACCTATAAGCATCTTTTATGTACTTACTACACTGGATACCATTCAAGCAGTAGTACTCAGACAAAAAGCTGCAAATGAGCTCCATAGTGTTTTCACCATCTTGTTCTGGGATACCATAAAAGTATAACACTGGTTCTTCCTTGCGTACAGCTCTGTATGCCTCCCTGGTGTGTGCGACGTGAGAGGTTTTGGCAGTGGAACCGCTCTGTAAGCCTTCTATCTCACTCAAGACCGTGTCTACACAGCTGGACACTTCATCCACTGAGCCTTTTATCAAGGTAAGGTGTTGCCGGAGTTCTGCAATCTCTGTCTGGATGCGACTTATCCCCTGTAACTCTTTAACAATGTACTCAATCACATCTGCAGAATGGTCTCTTGGTGGAAGGCTATTACTGTTGTATGCTGGAAGCTTACTTTCATTCTCAGTGCTCTCTCTCCAACTCATGGTAATACTAAGGGTAGAAAGGTCCTGCCCCTCAGATATTACACCCTTGCTCTGACAAATAGGCTGCATAGTACCCTCAGATGATATTCCTCCTAAGTCTTGCTGATTCCGTTGAACTGAGCATGGTATTTTTACACAGCCATCCCAGTTAAGTTCCACCTCACCAACACAGACGTCACTCATCTCCCCAGAACCATTTCTCCTGTCCTGAGCAAAGCCCACTCCAATAGGAGAAAATTCAGTGCTTGTGGATTTCCTCTTTATCCCACAAACATACATGTCTGTTTCAATTTCTACTGGGGAAAGCTGGTGACTCGGACTCACTGAGATCTCATTTACTTGGCCTTGCAGAAGTCTCTTCATTTTGTCCCTCAGATACAAGTGGAGTCTTTGCTTCTTGAATTGCTTCCTGGCCAAGAGTTTTTAGAACAGATTTTCTGTGCAGAAGAAGAATATCGTGTTCTGGCCTTTTCAATCTACTGCTAACAAACATCAGCAGCAGCTGCACCTGTGTTTCTCCATAGTACAATATAGCAGTACAAGCACACATCAGTCACTGCCCAACGCGCACACGCACATCCAGGGTTTATTCTTTCATGGAGCAGCTACCAAAAGAGAGGAAAATATTGCATTCCAATCAGAAAATACAAGGCAATTTTCCGCATATAATAAAAAGTAATCGCATCCACAAAAAGCCAGTTAGAAAGAGGATCTATTCTTTCAAATGTTCCTACCATAATGCACTTATTTCAGCTGTTGAACTGACAACCAGTTCTACGTGAGGCATTCTTTAATAAAGCAAGTGTCTCTCCCTCTCTACCTCCCTTTCCACAAGGAGGAAAAAAATACCAAAGAATCCAAAGCCCTCTGACGAATCAATGTGTGACCATGCCTTTTCTACGGCTACAACTGCAAATCCCACAAAAGTAGCTACCCCTTCTGAATACAAAATTCTATCCCAAAATACGAAGGATTCTCTTTCTGCAGGTGTCCCTTCTCCTTGGGCCCACCATCTTCACCCTTTCTTGCTTCAAAGGGAAGTAAGATCAAGTTTAAATTTGCTCGGTATCAGCAATCCCCAAGGAATCACTGAGATTGACATAATGCAGCAGCAAAGACTGGATGATAGTTTTGGGACTATAAAACTCTTTCATTATTTTAATAATAAATGTTAAAATAAGAAAGTAACACTAAAGAAACATGCAAAGCTTACAAGCTCCCAAATTAACCTACATTTAATATATGCCATATACAGATTATGAACAAACTGACTGAGCTGACAGGATGATGTCATTCTTATTCCAGTTCTCTGGATTTTACACTGGATCATTCCAGGATCACACCCATCCCCCAGAAAGGAAATTAACACTGTATTATCTGTTTAAGGCTCGTCTGACCCCCATTAGCGTAATATCTTAGCACCACACAGTCCTGGGGCTTGTCTCCACAGCAAGGTACTGAGCAGCAAACCAGAGTGTGGCTCTAAAGCAGTGTGACTCTACATTCCCTTATGGACACTGCTGCAGCATGCTGAGAGTCTCGGAATGCCATGAGTGCACTGTAGATTCACACCCTGACATGCCGCACAGTGACCTGCCATGTAGACAAGCCCTTAGTGTCACCTCAGCATCCCCATTTTACAGGTGGGGGAACCAAGGCAGTGAGAGATACGCTCAAGGTCACACAAAGTATGTGTCGAATAGGGAATTGAATCTAGGTCTCCTAATCTTCAGGCTAGTGCCTTAACCGCTGTATTATCCCTCCTCTCCCAGGCATGTGCTCTAATCAGGACAGCATGTGGCACAGCTGGTCAGTGTAGGAGCAATACTAAATGCCTCTCATTTTCTAATAAATATTCAGTCCTAGAACAATTATTTTAAACAAAAATAATTCCACAGTGCATTGGGACAAACAGCACATAATGAATTACTGAGCACAACATAAAAATGGCCATACTGGGTCAGAGCAATGGTCCACCTAGCCCAGCCTCCAGTCTCCAACAGTGGCTGGTGCCAGATGCTTCAGAGGGACTGAACAGAACAGCGTGATTTATTGAGAGATTAATGCCCCGTCGTCCAGTCCCAGCTTCTGGAAGTCCCGCTACTGCCTAAGTATTAATATTTTTACCAACAAATAAAGCCTTTGGGGTGCAGTTTTAGCCCATACACCAGTTTCTGAGAATGAAGGCTTACTGTAATGTCATTACCTCTGAGTAGGAAGTCTAGAATTCTTCTGTAAAAGCAGGGGAAGGGAGAGTTAAAGGGAGCTTCTCCTCTTCTTTTGAATTACCAGCAAAGTAAACTCAAGCCTCTCCTACACTTTACACAAGCACTTAATCTCCATCCTGAAAGCTCAACACAAAGCTAACCTGGTGCTTGGCACAACTGCTATGAGTCTCATACATGATTCAATCCACAACAGGGATCTCCCTTTGCTTCATTTTGATGCTACTTAGCTGAGCAGCACCAGGTCAACTGCTTGCATAGCGAATCACAATCTGAGCTTTTCCCAGGGGGTCTTTGTAAACACAAAACACCCCACCTCCTTTGGAGAGTAGCATGTACTCGCTCTGCAGTACTCCTAGCCAAGAGAGCGGGCCCAGTAACTGATCCCATATATCTCTCATTATGTGGCTATACAGTGTACTAACCATAGGAGTATCAAAATGCTTAATTTTATTTGCACTGAGGTTATGGCCTGTTTTAGGGCCTGACCCAAGGTCCCCTGAAGTCAGGGGGAGCCCTTTCATAAAATGAGGGGCAAACCCAAAGTTCATTGAAGATGTATCTTTTTAAAAAAAATCAAAAAAAGTATTTACTTATTTCAATTTACAGAGTACCTATCCAGAGCTCTATATGTCTACAGCAAAGCTGGGCTATGAAACTCATTCCCATAATACATCCCCCTCTAACTACACCCCACGACTATAACTGGTCCACTTTTTCATATAACATTCTCATTTTTATTAACCATTTTCTAATACTTTCAATTAATACATTTTGGTTTTGGTTTTACCCTTCTGCTTTTCTTCAGGAGGGAGGATTCCTTGCATCTGGACAAAGCAATGCTTGCCAACACTCACCTTTGTATTAATTAGATCAATTTACTTTGCCATAATTAAGGTTGTGTATACTGGAAAGATACTTCCACAGTTGTATCAGCACTTTAGTTTACAAATCGCATTATTCCATTGGTGGAATTTAGCATCCCAATGTAGTTTTCATTCCAAAATGTAACATGCACCTCCAAAGAGGCTAGTCAGACAGAGTTATGCTGAAAGATAAAAGTACTCCCATTTCATAATTTTTTGCACTCTTCTTAGGAAAACATGTTTTGGTTTAATAAAGTGAAAGTGTTCAGGCCCTAGTCCATAAAAAATGTAGCTTTTTACGATTTAACTACTCCCTCAGGGAGCTGCACTGACCTAGGAAATAACGTTTGTTCAGGCTATATTTCTCCATCAATTACGTATTTACCTCTTCAAGTCACTTAAGAATAATCTTTTTAAACACTAACAATTTTTAAATTACTCAGGCACACAGTTACAGAGATTTACAATGTAGAATGTTAGTCTCTCTGTGGGGCAGAAGAAAGTAAAGATCAAAAGTTGTGGCTTCTTATGTACATGAGCCAAGTATCATACATATCAAGTCAAAGTTGCAGGAACTATCAGAAGCCTGCATCCCAAGAAAGGGGGGAAATTCATAGGCAGGAGTTGTAGACCAGGCTGGATGAGCAAGCATCTCAGAGAGGTGATTAAGAAAAAGCAGAAAGCCTACAAGGAGTGGAAGATGGGAAGGATTAGCAAGGAAAGCTACCTTGAGGTCAGAACATGTATGGATAAAGAGAGAAAGGCCAAAAGCCATGTAGAGTTGGACCTTGCAAAGGGAATTAAAACCAACAGTAAAAGGTTCTATAGCCATACAAATAAGAAGAAAAAGAAAGAAGAAGTGGGACCGCTAAGCACTGAGGATGGAGTGGAGGTTAAGGATAATCTAGGCATGGCCCAATATCTAAACAAATACTTTGCCTCAGTCTTTAAATAAGGCTAATGAGGAGCTTAGGGATAATGGTAAGACAACAAATGGGAATGAGGATATGGAGGTAGATATTACCACATACGAGGTAGAAGCCAAACCTGAACAGCTTAATGGGACTAAATCGGCGGGCCCAGATAATCTTCACCCAAGACTATTAAAGGAACTGGCACATGAAATTCCAAGCCCATTAGCAAAAATTTTTAATGAATCTGTAAACTCAGGGGTTGTACCGTATGACTGGAGAATTGCTAACACAGTTTGTATTTTTAAGAAAGGGAAAAAAAGTAATCCGGGTAACTACAGGCCTGTTAAGTTTGACATCTGTAGTATGCAAGGTCTTGGAAAAAATTTTGAAGGAGAAAGTAGTTAAGGACATTGAGGTCAATGGTAACTGGGACAAAATATGGCTTTACAAAAGGTAGATCATGTCAAACCAACCTGATCTCCTCCTTTGAGAAGGTAACAGATTTTTTAGACAAAGGAAACGCAGTGGATCTAATTTACCTCGATTTCAGCAAGGCATTTGATATGGTTCCACATGGGGAATCAGCAGCTAAATTGGAAGAGATGGGGATCAATATGAACATTGAAAGGTGAATAAGGAACTGGTTAAAGGGGAGACTACAACGGGTCACACTGAAAGGTGAACTGTCAGGCTGGAAGGAGGTTACTAGTGGAGTTCCTCAAGGATCGGTTTTGGGACCAATCTTTTTATTACTGACCTTGGCACAAAAAGCAGGAATGTGCTAATAAAGTTTGCGGATGACACAAAGCTGGGTGGTATTGCCAACACAGAGAAGGACCGGGATATCATACAGGAAGATCTGGATGACCTTGTAAACTGGAGTAATAGTAATAGGATGAAATTTAACAGGCAAAAGTGCAAGGTCATGCATTTAGGGATTAATAACAAGAATTTCAGTTATAAACTGGGGATGCATCACTCGGAAGTAACAGAGAAGGAGAAGGACCTCGGAGTATTGATTGACCACAGAATGACTATGAGCCGCCAACGTGATATGGCCGTGAAAAAAGCTAATGCGGTCTTAGGATGCATCAGGCGAGGTATTTCCAGTAGAGATAAGGAGGCGTTAGTACCGGTATACAAGGCACTGGGGAGACCTCCCCTGGAATTTACTGTGTGCAGTTCTGGTCTCATGTTTAAGAAAGATGAATTCAAACTGGAACAGGTACAGAGAAGGGCTACTAGGATGATCCGAGGAATGGAAAACCTGTCTTATGAAAGGAGACTCAAAGAGCTTGGCTTGTTTAGCCTAACCAAAAGAAGGCTGAGAGGAGATAGGATTGTTATCTATAAATATATCAAAGAGATAAATACCATGGAGGGAGAAGAATTATTTAAGCTCAGTACCAATGTGGATACAAGAACAAATGGATTTAAACTGGCCATCAGGAAATTTAGACTTGAAATTAGACGAAGGTTTCTAACCATCAGAAAAGTGAAGTTCTGGAACCGCCTTCCAAGGGGAGCAGTGGGGGCAAAAGACATATCTGGCTTCAAGACTAAGCTTGATAAGTTTATGGAGGGGATGGTATGATGGGAT